ATAATTTTCAAATATACTGATTTTGCATTACATTTAAATAAAATCAACTTTGGATGGCTATTATGGCATTGCACATATCCTAAACTGATAATAAGTTCTGTAGCAACAAAGTAGGTAGTATTCTATAAATGTTAAGCCCTATCTTTTCCTATGACCTATATAATATTAATAGTTTTAGTTTGGTTACATATAAATTCTGCCTTTCCAATGAGCTAAATTACATGAACAAATTAAAAGAGCTAAAGAATATATATATATACATATATGTATATATGTAGTTGTTAAATTTTACCCTGTTGAATGTTTTAAATTTGTTTTATTATATAATACTGGCCTATATTTTGACGTTCAAATCTTAACATTTGTTTATATACTATAATTTTGTTTCATCAGGCAAAGGTCTCTTTGCTAATGATTAAAACTGTTTCTGAGCATGACATATGTCTCTCTGTTGTTGTTACATGCAGAAGATACCGCATCCAGACCTGTATTACTTGATATGCAGCTCTTCAGCCACTGTTCCAAGCAGCTAATGCTGGGGGGGAAGGGGAGGCTGTCAGCCTTTAGTAGAGCTTGTGAGATGCCTGGTTTCCTCAGGAGGCACTTGAAATGGCTGTTTTTTACATACAGAAAACTGTCTCTTAAAGGTCAGAGTGAGTGAACTTTTGTTGATTGGTGTTTCTACTGGATGGAAGAAAACCTAGGCTTGTGTTCTCTACTTAAGGTCTGAAACAGCATGCGTGTGTAGTTGTGTAAAGAAATAAAGAATAAGGTATATATAATATTCATATTTTAAAAACAGAAGAACTTTGCCCATTTCCACATTTCTCCCTCCTCAAAAGCTACTATTTCATTTTTTTTTTAAGTTTTATGTTTTGGTACTAACATTCATATTTCGAAGTTATATGTTGTTTTGTGACAAAACTTTGGCTGGGAGACACAACATACAACAGACCAAAGTACAGATACCACCAAAGCCCAATTTGATAAACCATTGTGTTTTACTAGATACAGGAGCATAGGTGAGGAGTTACTTACAGCAGAAAGACTCAAAAACAGCTGCATCTCCAAAGCCCACCCCAGCATGGTGACAGCTCACACAGCTAGGGACCTGGAGCACACTGCATGGCCTGTAGGCAGCTCCATGGGTTGGAAAATGCCCTTTCATGGTGCCTCAGCTGGACTAAACCACTTCCAGGCAGCTCCTCTGGTCAGACTCTGCTTTGCAGTTTTTCTTCTGAGAGTTTTCTTTGAAGCTTAGTTTGTTTGAGTCTTGGCAGCTCAGCTGTCTCAATTTTCTGTGCAGCTCAGCTTCTGAGGTGGAATCTCTGGCAGAGAGGGGCCCAGTGAATCTGCTCAGTTTCATGGACTTCCTAAGGCTCTTTTGGGTTGTTTACTTTCCTGTTTAGAGTTCCCTGGTGGGTGGGGAGATGTTGGAATGCTTCAATCTCAGAAGAAACTGTTATACAACATAAGCATGTGGCAGAGATTCTGTTTTTTGTTGTTGTTGTTGTTGTTGTTGTTGTTGTTGTTTTCCGAGACAGGGTTTCTCTGTGGCTTTGGAGATTGTCCTGGAACCCGCTCTTGTAGACCAGGCTGGTCTCAAACTCACAGAGATCCGCCTGCCTCTGCCTCTGCCTCCCGAGTGCTTAGATTAAAGGCGTGAGCCATGGCAATGGAAGAGATTCTTATTGATGTCCCATTAGGAAAGGTGAGGATTTGACTCACTTTTCTTTCCATCTTGCCATTACACCATACTTTTCCATCCATTACCCTCTCTTTATAATATTACTACACTAAAATTTTGCTTAGATTGAGATTCGACATTGTCATTGTTATAAATATTAATTACAGCTGAGCCAGGTGGTAACTACAATTTTTAAAAATCTGGTGTTATATTGATTCTTTTTTTTTAATATGCTGGGTTTTCTGTACAGTTGTGAATTTTTCATCTCCACTATGGAATTATTTGTTTTTTAAATTATTGCTTTTATTTATACTCATGTGTGTGTTGTGGGATAGGGCTCATGGAGGCAAGAAGAGGGCGCAAATCTTTTGGAACTAAAGTTAAGGCAGTCGTGAGTCTCCCTCCATGGGTGCTGGGACTGAACTCGGGTCCTTTGGCAGAACAATGTGTGCTCCTAGTGGCTGAGCCATTTCACAGCCCATTTGTTTGTTGGAGGCAGTCTTACTTCTTAACTGAAGCTGTCCTGGAACTTACTACTTAGCTCAGACTGGCCTTGAAACTGCAGCAATCCTCCTGACTGAGTCTCCCAAGTGTTGGGTTACAGGCATGAGCCACAACCAGATCCATCAAAAAGTTTAAATTGGCTAATCATTCAGTGCTAGTCTGTTAATAATAATTAATAGCTGTAAAAGATTGAGTTGTGTGTCTAGTTTTGTACAAGAAAGACATTATCAAATTTTGTATTCTGAATATACTTCCAAATATACACATATAAGTACAGGCATACATAGTGAACACCATTATCTTACATACAAGTGTTCTTTATACTAGTTTCTTTTAATTATCAAATAACTTTATACTAGTAATAGCTGTTTCCTGTGTTTTTGTGTTATGAATATTAATTTTGGTCCTTTCATTAGTTATATTTTTTTGTGGCTGCTCCAACATATTATTTCAACTTTTTTTTTGTTTTGTCTCACTCAGTAGCTCCAAACAGTTTTAAACTCACTGTGTAGCCTAGGCTGGCCTTGTGCTCATGTGCCTGCCTCAGCATTCCAATTATAATCGGTATATACCAATACACCCAGATTACCCAATGAAAATGGCTAAAGTATCAGAAATTGTATTTGCTGAGGGTTTTAGAGGCTAGACATCTAAACTGAGTTTCATGGCTCCTAACCAAGGTCTCAGCAGGGCCACCTTCACATAGATTTTAGGAGAAAATGTTCCTTGACCTTTCTAGCTTTGGTGTTTATCTACTGTCATTCTTTTTTCTTGTAGCTACATCCTGTGAATCTTTGTCTACATCTTCAGCATTATCTTATCTCTTCTTCTCTACTGAACGTCCCTCTACTGTTCTCTTATAAGGACACTTGTTATGGCAATTAGTGCCCATTTGGATAATCTGAGATTGTTTCCAGCAAGGACCTCTCTGCCTTATAAAGTGTCATTTAGAGTCCAGGGATTAGGATCTAGTATTTTTGGTTGGCCAATATTCAGACTGCTATAGTTCTTGTCATTGAAAAGACTTGCAAGGTTGAGGTTTGGCAAAGAGTTAGGGTAATGAAAGAGAAACAGAACACAGTGCTTTTTCTGGCTCCTGGACCAGTTGAAAAACCTGCTTATGACTTGGACTCTAATAGAAATTAGTAACTGATGGGAAATGAAGATTCTGATAGCTGTTTTTTGATGCGTTACAACAGACCTTTGGAATCTTTGACCTTATGGTATGGGTCATTGAAACCTATTCTACTTGACAATGAGTACAGCAGCATATGGCTTGCTATACATTGTTTAACTCCAGCTACACCAAATGTCTTTTTGTATTGTAACTGTCTTGATTTCTGTAGCCACTCTGCAGTAGATCCAGAAGTCTTCCTTTTGGTAGAACAAAGAGTAATGTTTCAAACTGGTTTATCTGAATAGAGGTATAGATCTCTAGAAGCAAGGACTAAGGAGAGAACATAGTCAAAGTGTTTTTTTAATCATTAGCTCATTATTAGTATAAATTACATGGTATCGATTATTATATCTCTAAGTCATAGTTTTCTTCAAGGAAGATCTGATACTGTTAGCATTTTAGTGGTGGGTTAGAAATATTCCTAGTCTTGTTATATTTTCTTTAATTAGTGTGGAGATGTTGTCTTTTACTTGATGCTTTGCTTATCCTACAATAAAATGGTACTTAGGTGTTTTTTTTTATCTTAAGTGGACATTGTTTGAAGATTTGAGAGAGATAAAATAGGTTGTGCTACTGGAAAAGGAAAATAGTTATGTACTAAAATCATTAGAATAAGGAGTGAATATAAAGTCACATGATGGATGGTCACATATCAGTTGTTTCTTAGAATAATTGAAACAAATTGCATCTATTATACAGTGTTTTCATTCTATATTAACTTAATGTAATAGTCTGCTTTCATTGTCAACTTGACACAATCTAGAGTCACCTGGGAAGAGAGTCTCTATGTGGGATTGTCTGCTTCAGGTTAGCCTGGGGGCATGTGTGTAGAGGGTTGTTTCAATGAAGTTCATGATTGGGAAGACCCAGCCCACTGGGCAGTACCATTCTCTAATTTTTGGGTCTTGAACTGTAACAAGGATGGAGAAACCAAGTTCCTACAAGCTGGGAACCAAGAGAGCATGTGTGCTTCTTTCTGTTGCTGACTGGGTATAATGCGATTAGGTCTTTGAATTTCCTGCCTTGACTTCCCTACAATGGGGGACTATAACCTGGAATTGTAAGCTGAAATAAACCACTTCCCCCCAACCCCTGAGTTGCCTTTGTCAGGGTGTTTTTATCACAGCAACAGAAATGAAACTCGGATACTTAGGAGCACTTTCTGGAGGAAAAGGAAATCTGAAAAAAGGCTGGTGTTACAAATGAGGTAGGTTAAGGTTCATGTAAATAAGAGAATAAGAGTTTTAGGAGAACTAGTTATGGAGTCATATAGCAAGGAGTAATAAAAACATTTATGCAAGATGAATAGAAGAAGTATATTTCCTCAGTAATATCTAAGTGTATTTAGGTATTTTTGACATTTTATGTGTAAAAGGTATATATCATTTTTAATAGATTTGCTTAATAGAACTTAAATCAAGTCACAAAGTTACCCCATTTTTATCTCAGAACAATGACAGCAATAGTATAAAGCACTGTCAGCAGACCAAAGTCTCCCTTGCAAGTAATCCTCTTGTCCCAAGTCTGGCATCTTTCAATAATAGAGTCCTGTCTTCCTGTTGGGACGCTTGGTGCATTTGGTATTAAGACTTTAACCTGTTTTTGTTTTCTTTTCTCCACCTTTCCTGGCAGCTTAGTCAGACTATGAAGCAGGCACGTCACCAGCTGGCATCCTTTAAAACTGTGAGTGAGAAAAAGACATCAGTGTTTCTAAATGGTAGAAGGAAAAGCTCACCCAACCAAGAGGTAAATTAATTTCCAACATGTTGTTTTACAATATATGTGAAAATATAGCTAAGAATTTATTTTATATTAGCATAATTTAGAAATGCAAAATAATTGAAATAATCTTCAATATCCCTTTAACAAGAAATGCTTGAGTAAATTAAGATGTATCTAAAAACAGCCATCCCTTTAAAAAATCATATTTTCAAGTAATATCTGAAGACTAGGAAAACTTTTCACTGAAAAAAGTAGGATATAAAATTACATAATCTTAATTTAAAATACATGTATTTATTTAACATGTCTTTAATCCCAGCACTGGGGAGGCAGAATCAGGCACATCTCTGAGTTCAAGGCCAGCCCAGTCTACAGAGTGAGTTCCAGGACAGCCAGGGCTACACAGAGAAACCCTGTCTCAAAAAAACCAAACAAAAATAGTATTCACTATTTCCTTATTAGAAGATAAAGCATATATTACAAAATTTTTAAATGGAGACAAGGAAGTGAAAGTTATCTATAATATTACACAAAACTGTGAGGCCCTGGATTTGATTCCCAGTAAGTACAGGGAAGGAGGGGAAGACCAGTATTAACGTCCTGCACCACAGCCATCTGGATGTTTGTCTGCCTCACTTTTCCTTATCACACTTCTCACTTCACGTTCCCACTATTTACTTGTTTCTTATATACTGTCCTACGAGTACAGAAGCCCCCTGAGGGATTTATGTCTTTATTTTCACCAACATGTTAACATTTGGATTTTTGTTTCTTTAGTTTTTGAGAAACAGCATTTCTCTGTGCAGCCCTGGCTGTCCTGGAACTTGCTCTGTAGACCAGACTGGTCTCATACTCACAGAGGTCTGCCTGCCTCTGCCTCCTAAGGCCTGGGATTAAAGGTGTGTGTCACCACTGCTTGACATAAGTGCTATTTTAATAAAGAAATTCATTTAATTCTAAACTTAAGTTTAGAAAAAAAGAATTAGAACCTAAATGTTGACCAAGACTTGAAAGTGTTTAAGCCATTTGTTTAGATGTCCTACTTATCTCAGTTTGGATGCTGAATTCTTATGTTTTCATGTGTTTGCTCAATTTTGGCATTAACTTTCAAGTTTTGATGACAGCGTCTAGTAAAATAGACCTTTACTTAGGCTTTTTGGTGTATTTCTGCCATCAACTGTCTCTCATTTCTTTCTTTGTTTCAGTACCTGCTTGGCATATGGCATGGACTATACACATTGTGTGCTGCTTATGTGTTGCTAGTTGAGTTCCTTATTGTATAGAATCATAGTGCAGATTTATACAAAGGCTACAACATCATTCATTAGGTGACAGTCTTATGGGACTGCCACCACATAGGTGGGTTGTTTTCCTTTAGGATCTTAACACAGCCATCGAAGGCATCTGTCTCTATATTGGTTTTGGCTGGATACTAAACTATGATTGTCTCCCTCTTCAGTATTAACTAAAAATTTATAAATTAAGTTTAAAAAGCAAGTGGGCATTTGTCCTAGATAGAATCATTTGGTTGTCTTTTCCTAGTATCCTGTTGTGGCTTTTGAAATACCTTTTCTTTTGTGCCTTGCATATTCTCAGACCTGCCATGGATTTGGACTATTAGAGTCACTGGCAGGTACTGTTAGGAAAAGGACTGGATACTTAATAAGCCACAAAAAAGTTCTTAGAGACTGATGTTTTACATTGTTTGGATATACTCAGGCCTTTCAATTGTTGTTTATCCAGAGAAAATACTGTAAACTGACCTGACTAACATAATCAATCCTGTAGGAGAATTAATCCTGAGATAGCATCCTTGTACAAACCAGTTTCATACGTCAGAGGTGCCATATGAGTGTAATTTTATTATTATAACGATAATGAGTTCAAACTTGCTGCTTGTTTTCAGAGAATGCCATGTCCTTTTTCCAGACAAAAGAATAGAAATAGGTCCACCCCATATAACTGTGAATGATGAAATTAGTGAAACCCTTTCCTTTCCTTTCCTTTCCTTTCCTTTCCTTTCCTTTTTTCCCTTCCTTCCTTCCTTCCTTCTTCCTTCCTTCCTTTCTTTTTTTTTTTTTTTTTTTTTGTTTTCGAGACAGGGTTTCTCTGTGTAGCTTAGTAAATGAGGCTGGCCTCGAACTCACATAGATCCACTTGCCTCTGCCTCCCAAGTGCTGGGATTAAAGATGTGTGCCACCACCACCTGGTGCGAAACTTTTCTTACACTTACATTTTTACTTATATCTGACCTGTATTCTTCCTTCACGTATGTGTGAAGCAGAAACTACCAATCAGAAAGAACTACATTGTAACTCAGTTAAATTCTGCCTTCATTTTCTTATTAGCTTTAGTGGCATTGCATCTTATCTAATTGTTACTGTCATTCAAAATTTGAGATACAAGTACATGTTCTTGTTTGACCCTTGTCAGGTTGCCAAGACTGAAATTACAAGTCTTCTGTAATCGTTAGTATCTAGAATAACTGCAACTTGTCATTTCTAAAGTTTATATATTTTTTTCAGTATATTTTACTCCACATGTTGACCTGTGATCTATTTGTATAGTCAAAGTGAAAATAATATTCTAAGCTACTAAGATTATTCTAGATGATTAATAAAGATTAAATGAGTATCATGAGGATATTGCTTCCCCTAGACTATTTATATATGGGTTGACTTGTTTTACCTTCCCAGAAAGCCCTTCTTAGGAAACCTCCATGCATCACGATAAATAAAGAAACAAGAGAGGAACCCCCCAGTAAAATCTATGAAGGCCCTTTAACTACAGTACATTACCAGAACTTTATGGGAAATCAGGTAGGAAAGTGTAGATACAGATGCTTATTGCCCGTTTGTCTCTCTTGTGAAGAAAACATCTATTGAAAATTTTTAATTGAATCATCTTTTTATTGTAAGGGTTTAAATGTTCCTTCTATGTTAGAAATGTATTTCTCTTATTAGACAGTAGACAAATGTGAGCTTCCTCATTCTGTAGACTATCATTTCACTTTATTAGTAGCATCACTTATAGGCCTGAAATTTTAGTTTTGGAGTGGTCTAATTTATTGTTATCTTTTGTTGCTTGCACTTTTAGTGTTGTGTATCCTAGTCATCGATTACATGGGGTCATGAACTTTTATTCCTAGGTCTTCTATTATAGTTTTCACTCTTACTTTGAGGTCTATTTTCATCTCTAGTTAATTTTCATGATTGAAGAAGGTGTCCACTTCATTCTTTTCTCTGCTGATACCCAGTTATCTTAATACATTTTTTGTTTAAGACAGGGTTTTTCTGGGTAGTTTTGGAGCCTTTCCTGGAACTCGTTCTGTAGACCAGGCTGGCCTTGATCTCACAGAGATCTGCCTCCTGCGTATTGGGATTAAAGGCTTGCGCCACCAGCACCCAGCCCTTAATATCACTTATTAAAGAGTTATTCTTCATCCTGGTACCCTTATCAGATGTCAGTTCATTAGAAATGTGAGGGTTTGTCTCTCACCCCTCATCTTTCTAATATTCTGTGTGTCTATGTGATTTACTTGTTAATTCAGATTGTTTTGGTTTTTTTTTTTTTGGAGGTTTTTTTTGGTGGCAGTGTTGTTTGTTTGTTCACTTTTAAACCAGCTGGCATTCATCAAAATTCTTGAGTCTGTAGATCTGCCTGTGAGCTACGGTGTTGGAAATGTGGCCAGTGTGTATTGTAAGTTGTGTGTGTGTTCAGTAAGGTTTCAGCCCAGGCTGATCTCAACTCATGGACTTTTATTTTTACTTTCAAAGCTCTGGGACTATAGATTGCCCACCAAATCCAGCAATTGTCAAAGAACAATATTGCCTCCCAATCTGAATGTGGGATATCTCTTCAAATATTTAGATCTTTAATTTCTTTTAACAGTGTTTTATAGTTTTAAGTGCACAGCCTTGTACTGTATAAATATTCAATTTTCTTTGAATACATTGTTCCACTAGACTTGTTTGTGGTATCTTAAGTCTTATTGTTCTGAGGTTTTATTGTAAATATATGATTTCTACTTGTAATAGCTACACTTGGTGGGCTTTTTGCTTTTGTTTTTGTTTGTTTTTTTTTTTGTCTTTTTTTAATGTTTGCTTTTTCTTTAGGACCTTGGCTGTGGGGAAATTACATCTATTGTGACAGGTGAGAAGGAGAGAGATTTGTTGGTGGATTACCAGCAGGATCTCCTTTCTGAAGACAAAGAAAAGGCTCTCAGCAAAGTTCAGGTAAAGCATAAAAGTAAACTTATGGTCTTGGGTCATAGATCTATAATCTTAGCTACTTGGGAGACTGAAGCAGAAAGATTACAAGTTCAGAGTCAATATTGGATCCAACATGAGTTCAAGACCAGCCTGAACAATTTTGTGAGAACTTATCCCAAAATAAAAAGAGGATTGAGTATGTATCCCAGTGGTAGAGTGTTTGTCTAGAACTGTTTAGTCACCAGTAATGAAAAAAAAGTGTTGTTTTTTTTTTTTTGTTTGTTTGTTGTTGTTGTTGTTTTTAAAGTGTGACTTGAATTAGGGATTTATAGTGGGTTTAGGATTGTTGACTCAGGTTATTTTAAAATTAGACAAATACTAAGGTTTTATCCTTCAAGTTTTGTTTAATTATGATATCATTTAAGATCCGGAACGAAATGACAGACTCTAGAGATCCCCCATGGAGGGTTTTACTCTCTCTGGGGAATGGAGTGGGGATTGGCTGGGAGGGCAGAGGGGGCTTGGGGAGGGAGTGGGCCTGGAGGGGAGGGAGAGGGAGCTGGGATTGATATGGGAAGCAAGCTTGTTTCTAATTTAAATATATAATAAAAAGTATAAAAAAGATTATTTTAGGATTCTTATGGAAAAATTTGGATTTTTGCTACCACCTAACTGTCTGTGTTTGTTATTTTTGTTATTTTTTTATATTTCCTTTTAGAAAGTAAAATTCAAAAATCCATTATTTGTTGTGATAAAAGAAGATGAACAAAAGCAAGTAAATCTTCATAGCCTTCAAGCTATTCTTCCAGAATCCCAGGATTATTTTGTAGAAGTTCAAGACACCCATCCAAAATCCCAGAGTGATGTGATAGATGTCCTTAATGTTGAGCCCAACGCTTTGAGTGTTGAACCAGTCACCCAGGCTACTGGAACCGAGTTTAAGGCCACAGAGTCAGAAGGCCAAACTTTTATGACAGAAATTCAGCATGTTCTTAAAGCCCAGACTATTGATCTAGATGGAAATATTGAGTTGGAACCCCAGGATTTTCTATCCCCAAATCAGGCCTTTCTATCCAGAAACCAGGATTTTCTATTCAAATATCAAGAGCAGGACTCCTTACCCAAAGACCATTATGTTCTCCCTAAATACTGGAATGTTCTGAAATGTCAGGACCAGCATTTTCTGCCAGCAGACCAGGAATATCTACCTAGAAACCAGCTTGATTTACCAGAAGAACAGAGTCATTTACTCAGATGTCAGAACCAGGACCTCTCACCTAAAGAACAGAGTTTCCTGCCCAGACAGCAGTATATTTTACCTATATATCAGGACCAAAGAGGTCTGCATGTTCTTCCTAAATGTCAGCATCACGATGTTCTTTTCAGAGACCAGAATAATCTACACAAATGTCAGGAGCAGGATCTTCCACTCCAAAATCAGGTGAATAGAGCAGGAAGGGGATATAAGACATACATGACTTTTGGTTTGCAGTGGGACTCGCAAAGATTCTTCTCTGGTTGATTTGGAGATTCTTACCTGCAACAGCAGTTTCCTGATTGATTTTTCAAAACTCTCCCAGGTTCCTACAAAAATGTTAGAGTAATATCAGCAGTGTATTTCCTGTATCTGGGAGAGTTATATATAAAAAATAATTCTTAGTAGGATAAATATTTCTGGCAGCCCTCATCTGTTTTAGTAGCTGGAAATTGAAAAGAGTCACGGCCCACAAGTACCCAACTGTATCTTTCAACACAGATTCCAGGCCAGTTCTCTGCTGGGGACAATTTAAAGCCAGAGGAAGAGGGGGCTATGCAGAGAGAACAGTTATTAGGGTTGTAACTGGCCAAATTCCCAACCAAGCTGACAGTGTAAAACAGCCTGTTATTCTTAATTAAGCAATCAATCCATTGTGTTTGTTTGTTTGTTTGTTTTATGAAGCCAGAATCAGCTCTGAGGGATAGACAGGGAGAGAAGCACTTCCTCTGATGCCCATCAAGATCTCTGTGGGCACCATCAGGTCTCCATTAGGAGCAAGGTAGAGCAGAGGAAGGACAGAGATTAGCAGAAACTTAACTGTTTGGGGTTTAGTTTGGATCTTGCAAAGACTCAGCTAAACTTGAGAACTAACAAAGCATGGCCTCCTGCCATTATATTCTATATTACTTTGAATTTAAAAATTACCCTGAGGTTCTCATCAAAGTCTTACCTATTATTTCTATCATACTATTCCTGGTGGACAATTCTTCTCTTTTAGGAAGTAAACTTTTAAGGATCCATTCTCTGATAAGAGAATTGGGAAAGAGAGAGAAAGCTTTTCTCTTTATCAGTATCTACCAAATCACAAGTCCAAGACTTTATCAGAGACCAGGTAGGGCAGAGTGGTATTAGTGAGGCCTATTCTAAGTCCTCTTAGAATGACACTCTGTGTTAAGAAAGATAAACAGTGTAAACCCTTAACAATTCAATTCTTCCTCTTTTCTTTTTCTGTTCTATCTTGTACCTAATGGTATGAATGACCCTGATTTAGTAAACTGTAAGTCATTCTGTTTTAATTGACCAGAATTCTCTATTGCTGAATCCCACCATATCATCACAAATTTGCCCCAATATGAAGAGTATAAGAAATGGTAGCAAACCTTAAGCTATTTTAAGGTTTGGTGAGTTTGTTAGACTCGTGTGTGTGATTTAGGATTAAGAATTAAAATTTATAGAGTTGGATTAAAAGTGTAGCATTGTCACTGGCTTCAGAGCATCCACAGAGTTCTCCCTGAAACCTGCAAGATTGACTAGCTTATTACCCTGGATAACTGATTATTATTTTTATTATTGCCATTATTACTGTTTCTGTTATGTTTTAGGACATGTTTCTCAAGCAGCCCTCAACTTTCATGAAAGGCGAGAGAAAGGCTGAGGAGTTACCCCTGGAGTGTCAGCAATATGTTCCACCTCAGGTCCAGGACCGGGTCTTCCATAGAGACCAGGTAGAGGACGCCTATAGACTCCTGAAAAAGAAAAAAGACCATTACTTCAATCAGGGTTTATTAAGCTAGCTTGTATATGGAATACATAAACTTATGACTAATAAAATGTCTAGGTATTTGAAATGTGCTGATAATCTGCGATTAACTTAAAAATACACCTGAAAACAGTTGGAGAAGGCGCTAGAGAGATGGCTCATTGGTTAAGAGCACACGGTCTGTCTTCCAGAGGAATCAGGTTCAATTCCCAGCACCCACACTGTGACTCACAACCTTCTATAGCTCCAGTTCCAAGAGATCTAGTGTCCCCTTCAGACAAGGCACACATGTAGTGCTCAGTCATACACACATGGAAACACTTACACATATAAAGTAAACTTTTTGAAAAGTTGGAGAAGATATAGATAACAAAATAAAGGTTGATAGTAAGGGGACCATAAGGGATTCATTGTACTGTTTTATTACTACTTAATTGTATGTTTGGAATTTTTTTATTAGATACGCAGACACACCCTCTGTTCTGACTCTAGAATTTTCTTCTGTATTATAATAAGCCCATCATTTCTGTTGAGACGGTTTTGTAGTTCCTTTTGATCAAGTGTATCAGAAGGACTTCATCTTGAGAGAAGCGGAAGATTGCAAGATTGCCTAGCACAGTATTTGAGAGCTAGCCTGTCTGGGAGAATAAGTAGAGATGAATGCAGTGAAGGATATGCTGCAAAGAACAGATTGCTTAGATTTGGGCCCGAGACTTGACAGGCAGTGCAGTAATTGCTTGAGGCATGTAATGTTAAGGTCAATAATGGGCAAAGAACAGAAACAGACTGTTCTTTTGTTCTGTTTGCCATTCCGATTAAAAACTACTTCAGTCGTCGTCATCAGCTTTAATCGTGGCTTAGATGTTATCCTCCTATTTTGGCAATTTATATTAATATTTATGTTGTGTTTTAGTACAGGAGTTGTGAGCAGACATCATATGATGCAGTAGATGAAAGATGGAGAAAGGAGTTATATCCAGAGTGCTATAGATGTGATTTACACGAAATTCAGGACTCAGGCTCTGCCACCAAGCAGGTAGAGTGGAGTTTAGTAGGAGTTTAGTAAGTTAGAAATTTGGGCTGGGCCTTTTAGAAGTATATTACTAACAAAGACTTTAATGTTACTATCTTTATTAACACTGACGTTTAAAAATTGATAGCTTACTTTCATGAAGTATTAATAATAGGCAAAATGGTTTTAGAAGCTCATATGTATCTTACTGAATTCTCAGAATAACCTGGGAGATAGATACTTCCTTGCTTTGTAGGTAAAACTTAAAGTTGTTTTGCAGATGGTAATAAGATTAGTAGTGACAAGAAATATTTCTACTCTTATGGTATAACAGATCAGAACATTCTGGCTTATTTAGATTACTGGGGCTATTACTTAAGGCTGTAGTATTTTCACTATTATGTCACCATTTACATAAATTAATGTGTGTTTTAGAGCTTACATTTTAGGCAGCAACCATGTGTTAATACAGCTGAAAGGTGGCAAGAGGATTTGCATCTTGGTGGTTGTGAACGTCTTCCACCCAGACACCAGAGAGGCACATGCAGCAGGCAACGGGTAGGTGTGCTATTATAGATACCTTTAACCTGAAAGGCTGATCAAAAACTATGTTGCAGCCAGGAGGTAGTGGCGTCTGCCTTTAACCCCAGCACTCGGGAGGCAGAGGCAGGTAAATCTCTGTCAGTTCAAGGCCAGCCTGGTCTACAGAGTGCGTCCCAGGACAGCCAGGACCACACAGAGAAACCCTGTCTCTAAAAACCAACAAAACAAAAACCTGTATTGCTGTGAAGATTATTTTATTTCAGAGCTTGTGCTGGAACTTATTAGGGTGGTGTTGGCCAAAGTTTGGGGATATTGAATTAAGATCTCTAATGTTTCAAGAAATGTCACAAAATTGTGGTCTATTAAGATTTCTTTATGGCTCCTCTGATGTCTTATGTATTCCCTCTAAAATTCTACTACTCTCAAATGATTTCTGTTTGTGGTTTTATGTGTTTTAGAATCAAAGGCTCTAGGTAACTAGTAGTGTTAGAGTGCCTGAAAGAAATCAAGACATTTCCTCGTCGCCTCATTAAGAGCAGAAAGCAGGCCATGGCCGAAGCTTCGGGACTTAACTGCTGCTCTCTGGGACTTTTAGTTTGGCCTGTAAGGTTGGCTTTTTCAACATTGTCATTGATAGTCTGAAGGGTGAGGCCCTTTTCCGAGTTGAGTCCTTTGCATTTATTTTTTCCTTGGTCTGGAGCGTTTCCCCTTTTTCCTTCATTGATTCTTTCTTTCTATTAGGATTTAGGTGTAAAATGCCCCCAAAGACTCATTTGAAGGCTGGGTCCCCATGGTGATGCTGTTGAAGACTATCTGGATCGTGAAGATACTGGCCTCCTAAATGGGCTATTAGGAGGTGGGGTCTAGTGTAGAAGAATATCACTGAGTGTGTCTTGGAAGGATGTACCTTGTTCCCAGCCTTTGTCTCTCTTACTCTGGCTCTTCCTATTCATTGTGAAATGATTCATTTTGCTCTGCTGCATTCTCCAGCTATGATGGTCTGTCTTACAGATACCTATCCCAGAAACAACACAGCCATGTGAGCATAGGCTGACTCCTCTGAAACTGAGCCAAAACAAGTCTGTGTTTCTTGTTATGTATGAAAACTTTGTAAAGCTTTTAAAACAAAATGTTGACTATATAAATGTAATACATGGATAAATTCTTATAGAACCTTTAGACACTAGAAATATGCAGAAAGGCTGAGGTTGTTAGTAGAGTGCTTGATTGATTAGTAAAAGCCTATGGTTTGATCCGCAGCCCTGCGTAAACTGGGTGAGGTGTTGCAGACCTATAGTTCTGACACTGGAAAGGCGTAGGCAGGAGGACAAACCACAAGGTCATCCTCTGCTACAAGCATAGCAAGTTTGAGGCCAGCGTGAGCACATGGAACTAACCCTCCCTCAGAGCCCACAAAAACAAAAAGTATACAGAAAAAATATGGAAGTCCCCTGTTAAGGCTCTTCCTTAAAGCCCTAATTCTAAAATTCTAATTCTCTCTCCAGTGTTAATGTATGTGTTTTTGTTAATTGTCTTATAAGCATTTATGTACATCTGAATGTAGGTGCATTTAAAAACTTGAGGTAAAGAGTTGATAAGATGGCTCAGAAGTATGGGCATTTTGCTACTAAGCCCATGATCTGCCTTAGTCGGATCTTGGGACCTATACGGTGAAAGGAAAGAACTAACTCCTGAATGTTGTCCTCTGACCTTCACACATGCTCTGTGGCATGATAGTCTGTTCCCTCCCCCACAATAAATGAATGTTTAAATTTTTTTAAATTGTGATAAATATAAAATTTATCATTTAAATCATTTTATCTATAATGTGAATATTTCTTGACATTTTGAAACAGAGTCTCCAAATATATCCTAGAGTGGCCTTGAGCATGAAATCTTGCCTCAGTCTCCAAGTATTAGTGTTACAGTTATAGGCTGCCACTGAACTCACTTTGGACATTTTCAAACATTCCCTCCAGTGGCATGAGTACTGTCGCATTGTTATACAGCCTGTCACCCATCTGTCATTGAACTTTTTCTAACCTTACAAATCTGAAACCATATCTGGAGCTTTCTACCAATTAAATAAAACCCCCTCACTCCCTCCTCCTTCACTCCCTGCTTCCAGTCTCTGAGTCAGACTGCTTTTACATACCTCACAATATGGTTTCCTACAGTGTTTGTCCTCTTGTGACTGTCCTGCTTTGCTTAGCGTAATGCTGTAGCATAGTACAGTACTTTCACTTTAAAGTCTTTAATAATATTTGTGTGTGTGGCATTTTATCGATTCACCCATTGATGGACACTTGGGCTGTTTCCTGTATAATGCTGTAATGAATGGGAGTATATAACAGTGAAATGTCTCCTGCTGCTGCTGAAGGCAGTAGCTAGAGAGACAGAGATAGGAGAAGCTTTCTTGGTAACAAGCTAGCAAGTGGAAGATGGAAGCTTTCATACCCAAGTTCCGTCTTGTCAGAGGCTACAGTCTAGAAAGTCTAACTTCAGCTATAGTCAGGTGAGCACTGGACTGATGATTAATGCTTTTGTGTGTTTGTGCTGGGAAACCAGGGCCTCATGCGTGCTGGGCAAGTGTTCTACTGTGGGGCTCTACCCCTAGCCTGGCAATTAGTTCCTGTTGTAATTGTGTTGACATGGTTTTGATGCTTTCCACAGGTCACCAGGAAAACCAGGCATTCCTGGTTCCTGTAAACCTAATGCTAACGAATAGGAAGTCACCCTGTCAGTGGCTTTCTTGGGTGTTTTCCCTTATTTTTCTTTTTAGGCTAAGCTGACTTCAGTGTTAATTATCTGGAAAGTGGGTTGTAAGGGAGAAAGGCAAAACAGAAACTGTGAAAGATCTATTTCTAGGGTGTGAGTTAACCCATTCAGTTTCAGTATAGACTTCCAGTGTATGAGTGACTTAACCTGTCAGTTTTGTGTCTATGGTACTTCTGGTCTCTGGGATAATAGCTTAAAGGGGGAAAGGTTTACTTTGCTTTATGATTTTGAAAGGATCATTCCACGGTTGCTTGGTCCCAGGTTCCTGGGTAGAAGATCACTGTGGCAGAAATATGTGGAAGAAAGGGGTGTTCAAGTCTTAGTAGAAGGAAAGAGAGCAAGGGACTGGAGACCCAGGATAACCTTGAAAGTCACACTGCCAGTGGGCTACTCCCTCCAAGGAGGCTCTGCCTCATAAACTTTCCAGAGCCTACCAAAATAACACAGCAGCTAGGAACAGTATATGAACATATGGGGGGGGGTGCATTTCATATACCAGGCATATCAGATTTGAAGATTTCTCCCATTTCCTATGCTACTTTTTTACTGAGAGTGTTCATGTGTATGCAAGTATTAATATAGTTCAATTCATTTTTTAAATATTTCCTGTATTTTTAGTGTCATATTCAAGAAATTGTCAGATCTGGTGTTAAATAGCTTTCCCCTCTTCTAGGCATTGTATAGTTTGCTTTCTTGTGTTTACATCTCTTGATCTGATTTATGTTAAGTTAATTTTTGTAGATGGTATATGCTAAGTGTCAACCTTCATTTTTTTTGCATGTGAATAGCCATTTCCCCAATAATATTTGTTGAAGAGGCTATCTTTTCCCCACTGAATGGTCTTGGTTTCCTTATTTAGAGCATTTGACCATATGTACCAGGGCTTATTTATAGTCATTTAGTTAATAAGCATATTACATTTGTTTTAGATATTTCTGTGTAAAGGTCCTGATTTAGTTTACATGGTTTGGGTTAGAGGTGTATATAACTCAGTGTTGGTTTCACATGCACAGCTCCCAGGTTTCATCCCCAGCACCACAAAAAGGAAATATATGTAGTTGATCCCTTAACATGTATTTTCTCTGTAAGGCATATTACAGCAACAACCCCCTCACCCCCACGTGCATGAATGTGGGCCTTGTGCTAGGAATTACATTCACACTACAACTTTCTTATGCTTGGAAGTGATGATATGTATCATCTTAACCAGAGAAATCACTGACAGAAAGCACAGAAACACATCAAATTTGTCACCAAGTAGATTGGGGAAAGGATACTTGTTGACAACATGAGAGCTGAAACAAAGAGTCCCAGCTGGCAGCGTGCATTTTTGTTACTCAGATCTTTCATGTCTCTGAATGTCTGCCACGGACTATATAAGCACTATGAGCGCTGGGGTTGTGTATAGGTTTGAACGAGTGGGCAAGTTTGTAAATATGACAGTGACTACAGATAATAAAGTTTAGTTAAATGCACAGTTTAGCATTTTGTGAGTATTTGTTTATAGGGTTGGCAAGCCTTACCACAGTCAATAGAAGAGCATTTTCATGACCTCCAAAAAATCCTGTTTCCGGGAGCAGTCTAGTTCCTTTGTCCTGCCTCTAGTACCTTTTAAGATAAAGAATTTTAAACTATTTTTCTTTTTAAAAGTAAAAATTATGAGTTGACATAAAATGTCCAGGTAGGTGTACCAACTAATATGACTTTTCTAGAAGATACCGTAGGTGATGAGCCCCAGTTTCTCCCATGACATACCAGTTACAGGAAGAATCAGTGGACAGACATGTCAAGAGAATTCGCAGAAGTTTTGGCCATTTTGTCACTTTGTGTACATTGGACTTTGCAGCAGGTGTCTGAGGAGTGTCAGTCGAGACCGAGCACTGAGTACCAAGCTCTGCTGGCGTTTCAGTCTGGGGTGGATCAAGAAGAAGACAAGAAAGAGGTATGCAGTGGTGCTGCTTCTGCATTCTGTGGGAGGTTGGAAGCAGCTCACTAGTCTTAGCAGTTCAGAACTCATGCTGCCCTTGGAGAGAACCTAAGTTCAGTCCTGGCCCCTAAATGGAGGCTCACAACCATCTATTTCTCCAGTCTTGGGAGATCTGATGTCTTCTGGCCTCTGCAGGCACTGTGTGCAGATGGTACACAGGCATACATTGCAGGCAAAATACTTGGCTAACATGCACAAGAGACATGAAAGACTTGAGTAACCCAAAATACCTTCTACCAGCTGGACTGTTCCAGCTCTCATATCACAAACAAGCAGCTTTTTGTAATCTACTTGGGGCCATATTTGATGCATTTTTTATGCTTTTTTAAAAGTTGGTGATTACTCTGGTTAAGATACCCCTCAACTATTCTGCTGATTTTCTTTCACTCCTAAGCATAGAAAGGTTATAGTGTGGATTCAACTCCTAGCACAAGGAGTAGAGGGAAGGGAAGGCTGTTATGGTTACGTGCCTTCCAGAGAAAATACATGTGTTAAATAAAATGAAAATAAATATTCAAAGAAAAGTCAGGCAACTGGGGAGGTGGCTCAGCCATTTAGAGCACTGACTGCTCTCCCGAAGGAATTGGGTTCAATTGCCAGCACCCACATGGTGACTCACAACTATCTGTAAACCCAGTGCTAGAGGTCTGACCCACTCCTCTGTGGACACTGCACATACATAGTGCATAGTCATGCATGCAGGCAAAACATCCACACACATAAAAATAAGTATTTAGTGTTGGTGGCGCACACCTTTAATCCCAACACTCAGGAGGCAGAGTCAGGGAATCTCTGTGAGATCGAGGCCAGCCTCCAGCCTGGTCTACAGAGAAACCCTGTCTCAAAAAACCAAAAAAAAAAAAAAAAAAAAAGAAAAAGAAAAATAATAAGTAAATAAATAAAAATAAATATTTTTAAAAAAAGAAATGAGAAAAAAGCCCCAGATTCCAAAGATGTTAAGACATTATAATATGCTTAACTTCTCTTTTAGGCTTCTAGGATTTATGATGCACTTGTGTGAAGTCAAAGATTTGATCCAAGTGAATTTCTCTGGCTGTATATGTTTACCACTATAACTTACTTAGAGGAATACTTTAAATGTATGGCTTCTCTTCCCCTTCAGTTAGAAGTACTCAGCTTTAAATCTTGGCCATGTGCAATGTCAGATGAGAAAAGAAACATTTTCTAATGCATCTTCAATAATAACAGTCTTTCTTCATATGAAGATTCTTTTACCAAAGAAGTCATATATTGGCCTAGTGTATGCATGGATCTGTCATCCCTCTGAGTAGCTTGTGTCCTTGAAAGAGAATATGTAAATCCGGAGGCATAAACAGATCATGCACCTTAGAGTAGCACTTGCTTTTATTACCGTCATTCTGTTTATGAGCATCATACCCTGACATACTTCATCCCTTCTGCACTTGTCCTTATCATGTGTGGCTAGGCTTTGTGATGTGATTTTAGTCTTTAAGGTTAAATGGGCTATTGTTCTATTATAAAATGCCTCCTTTTCTCTTTTTGTGGCCCTGCTTTTATGACCCTGCTTGAGAGCACAGAGTAAATATAGTATGTACCTTATTGTCTCAAATATAACAATTTCCTAGGTATTGTTGACAAATGGACTACACTAAGGGCAAACTAATACACTGTTTTGTCTTCAGATGATGTTAACTATTTCAGCTTTTACTAAGGGTAAAATAAACTTGCGCTTTCAATGGTTTGTCTATTAATAAAGTAGCTATGTGCATAACTTCCTTATTGTATGTACTGTTATTGATACAGAGGAAGTTAATGACTTTATCACATATAACCCTGTTATCTGGCAGTTTTCTTCTCTTTAGAATAAGAATATTATCCTTCTTTGCAAAGATGTCTGTGAACAGAGTAGGTAATTTTAACTTCTTTCATTTAGCGTCAAAAGCAATACCTGAGACACAGGAGGCTTTTCATGGATATTGAAAGAGAACAAGTGAAAGAACAAAACAGACAAAGGGAACAAAAGAAGAGAATTGAAAAGTAAGTTCTTTGATTCTCATTCTGAGGCTTCAGTGACAGTCGAGGTAATGTAATGCTCGCTAAGACTAAGAGCTAGAAGTCATTAGGTTTGGGCTTGGGGTATATATCAGTGGTTAAGACATCCTTAGCGTTCATGATGCCCTAGGTTCCATCTCCAGCTACCACGACACTTACTACCCCCCCAAAAAAGAAGAGGAGGAGGAATAATCAGGTAGTAATTCTGTGGTTTTGCCTTCCAAGCTTAGAAGTGGTCATTTTTGATCTAGATAAGTATTAAAGTTGTAAGTAAGTATACACATATAAAATCTTCCTTCCTTCCCTTTTTTTTGAGACAGACTCTCACTTTGTAGGAACTCACTATGTAGACCAAGTTAACCTCAAATTTGTAGTCATTTCCCTGCATCTGCCTCCCAAGTACTAAGCTTAACAGGTCCACTACCATTTCTTGCTTGTTTGATTTTTTTCTAGACTTAATTTTTTAGAACAGTTTTTAGTTGATAGCAAAGTTGAGCAATCGAGTTCCCATGTACCTCCTGCCTCCAGACAGGCACGGCTTCACTAGTTCAGCTTGTTACAGTTGATGAGCCTACATCAGCACACTATTACCCAGAGTTCATGGCATGCTTTAGGATTCATTCTTGGTGTTGTATATGCAAGTGTGTAGTAATGAAATGTGTTCATGCATGTATCATCCAGATTATTTCCTTACCATGGAAACCTGTACTGTGCCATTTCCTCCTCCTCAGGGCCCTCACTGCTGACTCTGTGCTTTCTCCTTCTTCAATGTGTGTGTAAGCTTTTCAGGTTAGTTTCCTGTAGTTGCTGATATGAGTTTAAGGTTCTTTCATTGCCTTTTCATGGGTTGATAGTGGTTTCTTTAAAAATGTGTGTGTGTGTGTGTGTGTGTGTGTGTGTGTGCGCGCGCGCGCTCCCACATACACTCGTACATGTGGAGATCAGAAGGCAACTTGTAAGAGTCAGTTTTTTTCTGTCCTAAGGATCAAACTCAGATTGTCAAGCTTCGTGGCAAACACCTTTACTGGTGAGCTAACTTGTTGGCCAAATATCTGTTTTAATGTGTAATAAAAAAATTAAATAATAATCACCTCTCTTGATGTAACTCTGTATTAAGTTATCATCTGACCTGCTGAAGGACATCTTTGTTGCTCAAAAGATTTGGCAGTTTTGAATAAAGCTACTATAACAATTACTGTGTAAATTTTTCTGAGGACATAAATTACTGCTCATTTAGGTAAATATGAAGGAGTGTGGTTTCTGAATCATATGCATGTCCTTGTCAGCATTTGGTGTTGTCAGTGTTTGAGGTCTGGCCATTCTAATAAGTATGTATTACAACAGTGGTATCTCACGGCTTTAATTTCCTCCCTCTCTCTCTCTCTCCCTCTCTCTCTCTCTCTCTCCCTCTCCCTCTCTCTCTCTCTCTCTCTCTCTCTCTCTCTCTCTCTCTCTCTCTCTCTCTCTCTCTCACTAATATAAATACAATTTTTTGCAATCTGCTTTTTCCCTGTTCCCTATTGATATATAATAAAATGCCTTTTTAAATAACCTTGCTATTATTATTACTTCCAAGCGTGGTTTGGGTGACTCTTGCAGAATTCTTTGTAGATGAATATATCATCTTTGAACAAAGACATTTCCTTCCTAGTTTCTAACCTTTATTTCTTTTTCTTTTCTGATTGCATTTGCCAAGACTCCCAATGCAGTGCTGAGAGAAAATGGTTGAAGAACCATTCTTGTTGTTCCTGATCTTAGAAAGGAAGCTTACAATTTCTCACCATTAAGTATGATCTTAGCTGTATCTTTTTTTGGCGGGGGGCCTATAGAGGTCTCTCACTCTCCACCCCATTTTTAAGACAGTCCCTCACTGAACATAGAGTTTGATGCTTTGGCTAGGCCAGCCCCTTGGATCTCCATCCCCTAGTGCTTGGGTTACCACACCTGGCTTTTACATAGGTCCTAATGATTGCAGGCACTCTCTCCACTAAACTATCTCCCCAGCCCTCTGAAATGGGTACAGTGCCTGTCTCTGGTGTGATGGAATGAAATGGAGAAATATATGTAAAGGACTTAATATTGTGTCTGGCATTTAATAGAAATTACAGTAAGGAGTCTCTGTCACTGCCACAATGTTTACTCAATAGATGACAGACAGGTGGAGAAAAGAAGACTGAAAAATGTTAATTGTATTGCTGAGAGTGAAACAGGAGTCATCAGGGCAAGACTTCTTAAACTTTTTATTCTCAGTGCCCATTTTTGTGCAACTATGGGTATACAGTTTTATAAGTAGTACATATTTATGCTCTTTGGTATAAACTCTAGGCACATGCTAAAGACAGGAAGTTTTCATATTAATGAAATGGATGTGCTTATTCATATAAGTTTCACATAAATAATTAAACATTGACTTGAATGTTTGATCTACAGGGCACAGAAGGCTTTCAGCATTTTCAAAGTTGATATTTTAATTTGATAATCACTAATGCTGAGAATGCATTTCAGATAATGGCTGAAGTGTGTTCAGAACCTTATTAGTTGTTAGTAGAAATTCTTTTCTAATCCCAACCCAAAATATATTTAATAGTTTTTGTTGTTGTTGTTGTTATGTTCACTCGTGTTTTTGCCTGTCTGCGTGTCTGTGTGAGGTCTCAAGCCTGGAACTGCAGTTACAGACGGGTGTGAGCTGCCATGTGGGTGCAGGGAATTGAACCCAGGTTCTCTGGAAGAGCTCTTAACCTCTGAGTCATCTCTCTAGCCCTCATATTTAATAGTTTTAAAATGAAATCAAGTTAGAAAATCAGTTTTTGACAGCAAGTTTTGTTTTTTTTTTTGTTTTGTTTTTTGTTTTTTTTGTTTTTTTTACGAGACAGGGTTTCTCTGTATTGTTTCAGAGGCTATCGGTCCAGCCCGGCCTTGAACTCACAGAGATCCGCCTGCCTCTGCCTCCCGAGTGCTGGGATTAAAGGCGTGCGCCACCACCGCCCGGCTGACAGCAAGTTTTAAATATATCAGTTTTTAAAAATAAAATATTGGCCAGGCATTGGTGGTGCACGCCTTTAATCCCAGCACTCGGGGAGGCAGAGGCAGGCGGATCTCTGTTGAATTTGATGCCACCCTGGTCTACAGAGCAAGTTCCAGGACAACCTCAAAAGCAATACAGAGAAACCCTGTCTCGAAAAACCAAAAATAAATAAATAAATATATTAAATATTCTAATACAATCTAAAAATTTACTAATTTGGAACTAATAGTTGACATAGTCTTAAGATATAATAATTGACCCTGAGGAATGATGTAGGAACAAGCAAAGTCTTTGTTTTAAGAACAGGAAACTCTATGAAGAACATTGCAGTTTGCAACATAACAGTGTTCTCAAATTTCCGCCAAGACATTTCAGGCAGTGTTTAATGGCTTTGCATGCCCGTGCACAGTACAAAGTATGCACTAAATTCAGAATCAAGACTGTGGGGAAGTCATGATGTAATTTTGAATTTTCATCATTAGGTATTCAGAAACATTTCACTGTTGCCAATTTTTTTATGACCCCTCTATTAAGTTGTATAATCCTGCATGAAAGTGAGGCACACAGTTTAAAAAAATGATTGCTGGAGAACCGTGATGACAAAATTCCTATGCTAAAGAGGACTGTCATCTGTTCTATTTCTGATGAATGGAAATGTTTTGGGAACACAGGGAGCTGAATGTGGTAACAGTGAGTTGTGGCCAGGGACACCAAGGGACTTAACAAACTGGGCAGTTCTGATGACAGCTCAGACACATAATGAGGAGGTTCCACTGGGACCTTGCCTTTTTGAGACTGGGTCTCCCTCTGCACTCCAGACTGCTCTCAAATTCTACCTGCCTGAGTGTAGTAACTACAGATAAGTGCTATCATGCCCCTTTATTATTATTTTTGCTATATTGTCGGTCAGGCCCAGATCCTGGCCTTGCACCAGCTAGTCAAGCATTTGAAAACTGAGCTACATCCCCAGTCCCTATGTTATTTCTTCTCCTTCCTCCTTTCCCTCCTCTCCCCTCTACCCCCTTCCTTCTCCTTGTGATAGTTCTTTTTTGTTTGTTTGTTTGTTTTTCGAGACAGGGTTACTCAGTAGCTTTGGAGCCTGTCCTGGAGCTCACTCTGTAGACCAAGATGGTCTCAAACTTGCAGAGATCTGTCTGCCTCTGCCTCTGCCTCCACCTCCGCCTCCCAAGTGCTGGGATTAAAGGCATGTGTCACCACCGCCTGGCTGTAATAGTTCTTTACTACATTCTCTTCATTGTTTTTTGTTTTGGGGGAGTTTTTGGAGGGGAGGTTCGAGACAGGGTTTCTCTGTGGCTTTGGAGGCTGTCCTGGAACTAGAGGTTTATTTTTAAGTGTGTATATGTATGTGTGTCTCTGTGTGAGCCTGTGTGTCTGTTTGAACCTTTGTGTCTGTGAGTCTGTGCATCTGAGTGTAGGTGCCCTCAGAGTCAGAACAGGTATTGGATTACCCGAAGCTGGAGTTACAGGCAGTTGTGAGTTACCTGATGTGGGTGGGTGCTAGGAACTTGACTCTGGTCTTCTACAAGAGTAATACCTGCTCTTAATACTGACCCATCTCCATCCTATTTTGTTTTTCAATATATAGAATCTGCCCAGGATATCCTCTAAATCCCTGTGTAGCCAAAGATGGCCTTGAACTTCTGATCCTCATGTCTCCACCTCCTAAGTGCTAGAATCACAGACTTGAACCACGATACTTTGACAGACCCTGTATTTCTTCTCCCCACCCTCCCACCTCATTGGTTGACTTTAGGAGCAGTTTCCTTCTTGCTGGATATCTTAGTTCTTTCAGGATAGAGGATATAAGGACTCTTTGTATGACAGTCCACTAATGAGTCTGGATTTCCTTTAAGTGTTTGCTAATTTGTGTGTGTTTTTTATTTTTACATATATCCCACCCCCAAGGTATGTAATGATACTGATGATACTGTTGTGTCTG